CTCCGTGACTGTGTGTCGTCTCGTCTCCGTGACTGTGTGTCGTCTCGTCTCCGTGACTGTGTGTCGTCTCGTCTCCGTGACTGTGTGTCGTCTCGTCTCCGTGACTGTGTGTCGTCTCGTCTCCGTGACTGTGTGTCGTCTCGTCTCCGTGACTGTGTGTCGTCTCGTCTCCGTGACTGTGTGTCGTCTCGTCTCCGTGACTGTGTGTCGTCTCGTCTCCGTGACTGTGTGTCGTCTCGTCTCCGTGACTGTGTGTCGTCTCGTCTCCGTGACTGTGTGTCGTCTCGTCTCCGTGACTGTGTGTCGTCTCGTCTCCGTGACTGTGTGTCGTCTCGTCTCCGTGACTGTGTGTCGTCTCGTCTCCGTGACTGTGTGTCGTCTCGTCTCCGTGACTGTGTGTCGTCTCGTCTCCGTGACTGTGTGTCGTCTCGTCTCCGTGACTGTGTGTCGTCTCGTCTCCGTGACTGTGTGTCGTCTCGTCTCCGTGACTGTGTGTCGTCTCGTCTCCGTGACTGTGTGTCGTCTCGTCTCCGTGACTGTGTGTCGTCTCGTCTCCGTGACTGTGTGTCGTCTCTGTGACTGTGTGTCTCTGTGACTGCGTGTCTGTGCTTATTTGTGGGGAGCGGCAGTGTAGTGGTTAGCGTGCTGCACTATGAACTTGGCGACCCGAGTTCGATTCCCGCTCATGGCTAACACCAGTGACGATTATCTGAACCGGTCCTGGGCCTGCCCTTGGTCGACTCAGTGTGGTGTGTAAACAGTGTGGTGTGTGCGGTGTGTAAACATCGCCACTAGGGAGACAAAGGCGGTCGGGCGTGGTGCTGGCCACCCACCTCATTGTGTACCGTTGCCTTCATAGGTGATCGCTAACATCACTTGCCCCAACAGTCTGTTAAGGCTACACGGGGGATCTTTGTCTTTTTTGAGTTTATTTATGGGGAGCGGCAGTGTAGTTGTAAGCGCGCTGCGCTGCGAAGCCAACCACACGAGTTCGATTTCCGCTCACGACCCAATTTACAGTGGCGAATATTCGAACCGGACCTGAACCTCCCTTCGGTCAACTCAACCTTAGATGGGTACCTGGTGTGGTGTGTAAACCTGGTGTGGTGTGTCAACGTTATTGAGTGTGGTGTGTAAACCTGGTGTGGTGTGTACACGTGATTGAGTGTGGTGTGGAAACCTGGTGTGGTGTGTACACGTGATTGAGTGTGTCGTGTAAACCTGGTGTGGTGTGTACACGTTATTGAGTGTGGTGTGTAAACCTGGTGTGGTGTGTACACGTGATTGTGTCGTGTAAACCTGGTGTGGTGTGTACACGTTATTGAGTGTGGTTTGTAAACCTGGTGTGGTGTGTACACGTTATTGAGTGTGGTGTGTAAACGTAGTATGGTGTGTACACATTATTGAGTGTGGTGTGTAAACCTGGTGTGGTGTGTACACGTTATTGAGTCTGGTGTGTAAACCTGGTGTGGTGTGTACACGTTATTGAGTCTGGTGTGTAAACCTGGTGTGGTGTGTACACGTTTTTGAGTGTGGTTTGTAAACCTGGTGTGGTGTGTACACGTTATTGAGTGTGGTGTGTAAACCTGGTGTGGTGTGTACACGTTATTGAGTGTGGTGTGTAAACCTGGTGTGGTGTATTAATGTTATTCCTGGGGAGGCGGCCGGGCGAAGTGCTGTCCACCCATCCCCTCGTGTACCGTGCCGGCCTTCGTAGGTGCTACTCGCTGACAAAACTTGCACCAACAGTCTGTTAAGGCTATACGGGGGATCTTTACGTTTGATTATGTGTCCGTGTTTTTTGTTGTTCCACAAGTATGTGTGCGCGTGGGTTTCATGCGTGTACGGGGAGCGGTGGCGCAGTGGTTTGCATACTGCGCCATGAACCCCGGCCAGCTGAGTTCAACTCCCGGCCACGGCTCACGGTGGCACATTATGTATCGTCCGCATTGCCTTGCTGCGACACTCGGTTCAGAAACACGGACGTTAACAAAAGTAAGCAAAGACGCATGTATAAGAGAAAGTAAACTAAACGATGTTTATTTGATCAGGTAAGGCCCACTGAGCTATATATAGCTCTTTTTCAGAAGCCAGCTGGCCACAATTGATAGCTCAACGAAGTGACTTATCACGTGGAAATGTATAACAGACAAATACTCTAAACGCGTGATGTTGATTCTAAATGTGGAGGGTTAAACCGATCACGGGGAGAGAGAGAGAGACATGCAAACTCCAAATACACAGCAGCAGGCGTCAAGGTCGGGATCTAATCCACGACCTCCTGTATACCAGGCGAGGTAGTTAACATCTCATAGCCACCGAGGCGAACGTACGCAGGTGAGAGACGCAATTAAAACTGATAATACAAATCAGAATATGTATTTATACTGGAATCCGATTAGCTAGAAAGCTCTTTTTCACAGACGTCCAGTAAGTGACCTTGCAGAGGCCACGGTCGCTGGAAGGAAAGTGGCCGAGGCTAACCACGGAATGGCAGCCA